GTACAGATGTCATTCATGACAGCTTTATACTATAAAATGTGCTTAATAAAAAACAAAAAGTTGTCCAAAAAATTGCTAAATAATGTCAATAAATCAAGTATGAGTATCATGCAGTACATCTAAACTGGCTTCATGCAGTTGTTACTTTAGCTACTAATTCAAAGCCAACACTCTTAATAAAGTATTGCAATACTCTGAAAAAAATATCATTAGCAAGAAATGAATGAAATTCAAATTAAGTCTGTAATTAATTGTATGATAACTGAACCATGGTTATATAAGGGGCTATATTAGGGGAAGTTGAGTGGATTTTCTGTACGATTTTTGCAACTTGTCTCTAAGTCCAAAATTAATTAAAAATGAAAAGTTAAAATAAAATAAAAAAAACTGGAGACTAAGTATAACCCAACATAAGGCAGTAAGATTAATTTAATTCTCAAAGAGAATCACTGATGCCCTGGCCCGTTTAGCTCAGTGGTTAGAGCATTGGCCCGCAGTCCGGTGAATCACGGGTTCCATTCTGGTCAAGGGCACATACCTACCTTGGTTGTGGTTCCTCCCTAGCCCTGGTCGGGTTGGGTGGGAGGCAACCAGACAAAGTGTCTCTCTCACGTGGATGTTTCACTCTTTCTCTTTCTCCTTCTCCTTCTTCCTCTCTCTTTCCTCCCCCTCCCTCCCACTTTCTCTGAAGATAAAAAGAAAAATATCCTCGTGTAAGGATTTAAAAAAAACAAAGAGAGAATCACTGATCTATGTATTCCTGTGACCTAACAAATACTCAGTGCTGAATTTGGTAAATCATAAATTACTTTGTAGGACATGCTAGTTAAAATACATAAGGACACTACTAAAACAGATGGAACACACACAAAAAAAAAATAATGATTACTAAGGAAGGAAAAACATTAACAGGATGTAAAATTGCATTTTGGGAAGATTTTAGAAAGTAAAAAGGCTCACCTGCATGCTAGCTCCCTTCGGTTTACTAACCCAGCACTCTCCCAAGGGTAGAGGGCTCCATCTAGAATGAATGGCACTTTCTTTTGGTCACACCCACCACCTACTGCTCCTCTGCCACTGAGCTCTCCACAGCAGTGCTCCTCTTCCCTGACTCTGAAAGGAGTTACTACTCCAACTGCCCCTTCCTCCCTGAATCCACAGAGCACAACAGAGCAGGGTCCATGCATCTGGGCAAGAGATGCCGGATGATCCTGTATCACCCATTTTACAGCAAGAGTTGTCATAAAACGGTCAGGAGACATGACGTAAATTTAATAAGCAAAGGACTGAAATTGTTTTATACAGTATATGTTATGCAGCATAACAAAATTCATAGGAATTTCTGATGGGAGATTTTAATGGAGGTTCAATGTGTACTTATGTGGCATTTCCAGCTGTCCCCCAGAACCCTGCAGTGGGGTCAGAGTTCCCTTTCTGCTGTCATCAGGGACACCTCAATGAGAAGGTTGGAGAAGGACTCAGGTAATGGGAAAAAAAGGGCCCTGAAGTCATGTAGAACTGAGTTTAAATCTTGTTAACAGATTTATCAATGGATTTGGGCAAGTAACCTAAATTCTGAGTTTGTTTTGCCATTTATTTAAAAAGCATATTTCAAAATGTGGTTCCAAGAGTACTCGTATCTAATACAGAGCGGAATTTGTTAAAATTGAAGATTCCTAGGTCCTATTCCCAGAGCAGCTGGGCCTGGGACTCAGGAAAATAAATTTTTAACAAGCTTCTCAGATGATTCTTACACACACTGAAGTTTGAGAAACACTGAAATAAGAGAATGAGCCTGAAATGCAATAGGTCCTTCAGAAACATCAATTTTTCCTGGTGAGGAAAAGCAGTACAGATATGTAAAAATTAGATCTTAAAAATGCATTTAAGCCCAGCCAGTGTGGCTCAGTGGATTGGGCATTGTCCCATGAACTGAGAGGTCCCAGTTTGATTCCCAGTCAGGGCACATGCCCAGGTTTTGGGCTCATTCCCCAGTGAGGGGCGTGCAGGAGGCAGCCAATTGATGTTTCTCTCTCACATCCATGTTTCTGTTCTCTCTCCCTTCCTTTCTCTCTAAAAAGCAATAAAAATAATTTTTAAAATAAATTTAAAAGATGCATTTGAATAGCTTTTGACTTCATCAACAAATATTACTAAAATAACCAAAAACTGAAAAGAATCAGTGTTAACATTAAGGAGCTAATTTAATTAATTACAATACCACCATACGATGGAACATATACTTTCATTAAAATGGTGTTCAGCCTGGCTGGTGTGGCTCAGTGGTTGAGTATCGACCCACACACCAAGAGGTCGCTGGTTCAATTCCTGGTCAGGGCATATGCCCAGGTTATGGGCCAAATCCCCAGTGTGGGGCCTGCAGGAGGTGGCCAATCGATGTTTCCTCTCATCAATGTTTCTATCTCTCTCTCTCTTTCTGTTCCCCTCTCTCTAAAATCAATTTTAAAATTTTTTTAGTAAATAAATAAAATGGGGTTTAAAAAAGTTAATTACATGGGAAAGTGCTTATAATAGCTAAGTTTAAAAAAATATATATGTAGAATATAATCCAAACTATACTATATATGTGTGTGGTATGCATGTCTTTTATATATAAAATTCCAGAAAGAATCACTGGTGGTTGTTTCTTTTTTTTTTTTTTTTTTTTTATCCTCACCCAAGGACATTTTTCCATTTTTTTGTACAGATAAAGTGGGAGGGAGAGAGAGGAAGGGAGAGAGAGAGAGAAACATCGACATGAAGGGACACATCGAGTGGCTGCCACCCGCACGACCAACCAGGGCCGGGGACAAACTGCAACCGAGGTACGTGCCCTTAGCGGGAACCGAACCCAGGTCTCTCCGGACCGCAGGCCGACGTTCTAACCGCTGAGCCAAACTGGCCAGGGCTGGTGGTTGTTCCTTAATTACAGAACTAAGGAAATCTTGTTTCTTCTGTATCTTCTAATTTTTTCTAAAATGGGGTTTTATGATCATAAACAATATACTTTTCAGGCAAAATGACTACATAATTTTCCTTTAAAATACATTAAAGTTTAGAGATGACACAATAGACAAAGACTATAACTTTCAGTTACCTAAGTTTGGCAGCAATTCATTCAAATAAACTTCAAGGAAATCTGTTCTAAAGAGACCCCAACAAGCCCCAAATCTCAAAGAAAAACCTCAGGGGCTATCAATAATTTTCAATGCCAGAGAATCTTGTGGTCTGTGTTTGAAATTACTATTCCTAGACTCCACCTCCAGAGAGTTTTATTTCAAAGGCTTGAGGCAAGGCCAGGGAATCCATATTTTCAACAGGAACCCAGGTTGGTTTGAGAAACCATTGTTCATTGATGGCTTAAAAAGAGAGAGAAGAAAACCACTGATTTGGATATTCTCACTTTGAATAAAAAAATCTTCAAAGGGATAGTTAGTTCCTAAATCACACTCATGCATCCCTGGAAAAAGCACACATTAAATAACACTCAGTTTAATGTAGATACTAAATACTTATTCTATCAAGTGGCATAAAACATATAATAACAGAGCTAGTTTTATCCCCCTCCCCCAAGATTATGTGGTCCAAGTTCAGCACTTCTCTTTAACAGATGTTTTTGATCTGATCAAAGCATGGATCATGAAACTGTTTGCAATTTCATGGGGGTACAAAGGCCAACTCTGCTCTAGAAGATAAAATTTCAAAAAGATAAATTATGGTCCAATACAGCATTATCTCCTCCCCCTAGAGACACATTCCAGCTCTCCTGCCCAGGCCAGGTGCCTAAAATAGCCCCCTAACCCTCTTTTCAAGCCCAATTTCTCCATCTGGACCTTGAATCCTACTCATTCGTAGTCAAGATTCCTTGACCTTCTGGCACTCTCAATATATTATTTTCTTCTCTTTAAAAATGTAGAAATTTAAAAATTCAGCAACAAAAAACTCTCCTCAAGCCCCAAATACAATCTTCTTCCTCCTCCTTTTCATCAAAGGGCTGGAGAGGTCTCCCTGTGCCCTGGCTGCCTCTTTGTTCTCATTCCTCACCCACTCTTGAACACTTACAACACGCACACTCCCAGCCGATGGATATCGCTGTCCTAAGGCTACCAACCCAAAGGCCTTTTCTCAGTCCCAACCCTCCTGAACTTTTTCTTTTCTTTTTTTTTCAGGCCTAGGTTTAGCCCTTGTCTAATGGAAGACCAAACATCAACAGGCAGCCATGGATTGACACAGAGCCTGACTAAGGGCAGGTGTCTCAGAAGTACTTCATTTTTAAAATTTTATTTTTCAATTACGCTTAATATTCAATATTATACGAGTTTCAGGTGTACAGCGTAGTGGTTAGGCATTTCTGTAACTTACAAAGTGATCCCCCTCCACGAGTCCAGCACCCACCTGGCACCACATGTTACAGTATTATTGACTACATTCCCTATGTTGTACGTGTTACATCCCCGTGATGATTTTGTAGCTGCCAATCTGTACCAAGAACTTTAAAATCCAGATGGCTCTCACAACTCCTCTGCCCCTGTAGGCCCTGGGATCAACAGTCAATTTCTTAGTAAAAACCCTGGGGAAGCAGGGATCCAATGAAGAAGGGGCTTTTTCACGTTGATGCGCCCGCTGGGAGAGAGAAGCTGGGGGCCATCCCAGAACCGTGAAGCTGGGCCTGGGAGGATGGGCGGAGGAACCTCGAATCTCTTCCTACCTGGCAGCATCTCGCTTGGCTCCCCGCCGGCGGCCGAGGAATAGCCGCGATGGCGCCTGCACCGGGGCCGGTGCTTCCCGGCCAGCTCGACCTCCACAGGCTCCCTGCCCAGCCCGGCCGGTCGGCTGAAGCAGGACAACCCCACCGAGGCCAGGCCGCGCCGGCCCACGCGCGCCCAGCCCGGCCCGAACCCTGCCTGCCGTCCGGAGATGCCCAGGCGGCGCCCGCCACCGCCCTCCGCTCGGAATTGCGCCGCCCGGGCGCCAGCGGAGCCAAGGCCGGGCGTACTCACCCCAGAGGCGGCAGCAGTCGGCACCGCGGGGAGGAAGGGGAGGCTGAAGCGGCCGTGGGGACCGCCCCACCTCCGGGAGGAGGCCCCCGAGCGCCGGCTCCGCCCCGCGGGCGGCCGGTTTCTCTGCGAGCCTGGCGCTCCACCCCTGCTCAGACCGAGCCCACCCGATGGAAGCAGAGTGGAAAGGAACGGTGGACAGCTTGTCCTGCAAGTGATCCTAAATCCTTAGATCGATACTGCGCTAGGTGCTGGCGCTTCCTAAATCCCATCCCCGTAATTCTCACAACGCCTTGGGAAGAAGAGCCAAACCCGAGCCTCCCGCGAAGCCAAGACCATGGAAGAGCACTGAAGAGTTTCAAGTGCCCTGTACTCTAAGCACAAACAGTAGAAACCCTCTCTGGGGGACGCATCCTCCATGTAGTCCCATAGGATCCAAGCAAATACAAGTTCACAATTAAAAAAAAAAAAAAAAAAAAAAAAATCAGCAAGCACAAAGGCTCCACGTAAGTGTCAGTCATCAGAACTAATACCGAACAGATTAGTGCTCTCCTCCCCTACACACACATCAAGGACACGGGATATTAGAATTGTCTAACAGAATACAAAGGTTTTTGTTTTTAAACAAGATTTTAATCTTTATTGTTGAGAGTATTACAAATGTCCCCCCTACTTCCCCCTTCTCCCATTGTCCCCCTCCTCCTGGTTCCCCTTCTGCCTTAGGCCTTTACCACCCTATAGTCTGTGTCCACGGGAATATTGGGATGCATGTAAATTCTTTAGTTAATCTCTACCCGCCTCCTCTACCCCCTTCCCTCTGAAGTTCATCAGTCTGCTCCATGTTTTCATGCCTGTTTCCATTTTATTCATCATGTTATTTTGTTCATTGAATTTCACATATAAGTGAGATCATGTGGTACTTGTCTTTCTCTGATTGGCTTAATTCGCTTAGCATAATACTCTCTAGAACCCTTCATGCTGTCTCAAAGGGTAATAGATCCTTCTTTTTCACAGCTGCATAGTATTCCATTGTGTATATATACCACAGCTTTTTTATCCACTCATCTACTGATGGGCACTTGAGCTATTTCCAGATCTTAGCTATTGTGAATAGCACTGCTATGAACATAGATGTGCATATATTCTTTCTGATCAGTGCTTCGGGAGTCTTAGGATATATTCCTAGGAATGGGATCACTGGGTCAAATATCAAATCAATTTTTAATTTTTTGAAGAAATTTCATACTGTTTTCCATAGTAGTCTGCAATCTCACCATCATTGCACCAATGTTCCCTTTTCTCCACATTCTCACCAGCACTTGTTGTTTGTTGATTTATTGATGGCAGCCATTGTGGTTGGTGTGAAGTGGTACCTCATTGTCATTTTAATTTGCATCTCTATGCTGATTAGTGACTTTGAGCATTTTTTCATAAGTCTCTTGGCCGTTTGTATGTCCTGTTTGAAGAAGTGTCTATTCAAGTCCTCTGCCCATGTTTTAATTGGATTGTTTGTCTTCCTTTTATTGAATTGTATGAGTACTTTATATATATTTTGGAAATTAATCCCTTATCAGATGTAACATTGGCAAATATGTTCTCCCAAACAGTGGGTTCCCTTTCATTTTGATGCTAGTTTCTTTTTCTGTGCAGAAGCTTTTTAGTTTGATGTAGTCCCATTTATTTATTTTTTCCTTTGCATCTCTTACCCTAGGCAACATGTCCATGAAAATTCTGCTATGTGAGATGTCCGAAATTTTTATGCCTACGTTTTCTTCTAGCATTTTTATGATTTCACAACTTACATTTAAATCTTTTATCCATTCCCTGGCCGGTTTGGCTCAGTGGTTGGAGCGTCAGCCTGTGGACCAGAGAGTCCCAGGTTCAATTCTCGCTAGGGGCACATACAAAATAAATAAATAGATAGATAGATAAATAAATAAATAAATCTTTTATACATTTTGTGTTTATTCTTGTGTATGGTGCCCAATTTTCCCAACACCATTTATTGAAAAGACTGTCTTTACTCCACTGTATGGTCTTGCCACCTTTGTCAAATATTAATTGAGCTTAGTGGCTTGGGTTGATTTCAGGGTTCTCTGTTCTGTTTCATTGATCTATGTGCCTGCTCTTGTGCCAGTACCAGGCTGTTTTAATTACAGTGGCTTTGTAGTATAACCTGATATCTGGTATTGTGATCTCTCCTACTTTGTTCTTCTTTCTCAAGACTGCTGTGCCTATTTGGGTCTTTTTTGGTTTCATATAGATTTTTGGAGTAATTGTTCTAGATCTGTGAGAGAAAAAAAGGGGGGACTCCCTAGAAATTACCAATTACAGTGGCAATAGAGTACCTTTACATTGGAGAAATCTGACAGATACCACCTTTACCAAGTACTCAAAGTTAATTTAACCAATAGTACAATTTAGCATCACACATGAGGTGATGCTCTGAGGACATGACATTACCTTTATTGTAATCCTGTCAAAAGTACACAATTTGAATGTAATCATGAGGTAGCAGTCAAACAAGCCCAAACTAAGGGATATTCTACAAAATGTCAATGTCATGAAAGACAAGAAAAGATGAGGAACTGTTTCAGATTAAAGGACACTAAGGAATTTTGCCATCTAAATTCCTGCATTGGAAAAAAATGCTACCAAGTATTGAGACAACTGGCAATGAATATGTACATTGTGGTAGATTAAAAGTAGCCTCAAATTCTTTGACATTCCTCTCACTGAGAAATGGGAATATATTTCCCATTTAAATCTGAGCTGGCCTGTGACTGCTTTGACGAATGAAGTAGAGTGGAAGTGAAGCTATGCCAGTTCTGAATCCAACCTTTAAAAAGCTGTCTGCACCAATCAGAAAGAATATATGTACCCCTATGCTCATAGCAGCACTATTTACAATTGCTAAGGTCTGAAAACAGCCCAAGTACCCATCAGTAGATGAGTGGATAAAAAAGCTGTGGTACATATACACAATGGAACACTATGCAGCTGTAAGAAAGAAAGATCTCTTATCCTTTAAGATGACATGGAAGGACCTGGAGAGTATTATGCTAAGCAAAATAAGCCAGTCAGAAAAAGACAAATATCACATGATCTCACTTATTTGTGGAATATAATGAACAAAATAAGCTGATAAACAAAATAGACCTAGAGACATAGAAGTAGGGTTCAGACTGACAAACCTCAGGGGGTCGGAGGGGGGCAGGAGAGATAAACCAAAGAACTTATATGCATATAAGCATAACCAATGAACATAGACAACAATGCTGTGAGTGGGATCAGGAGGAGGGTGTCAATGGGGGAAATAGGAAAAACATCTGTAACAAAAATAAATTAATTTTTTTAAAAAAAGCTGTTTCTGCTTCCTCTTCTGCTATATTTTGTCAAAGCATTACACAAAAGCCTGGATTTAAAGGGGAAATATATCCCCATGTCACAGTGAGAGAAATGTCAAATAATTCAAGGCTGTTTTTAATCTACTACATTGTACATACCCATTTCCAGTTGTCCCAATAATATACCTTATAACAACTTTTTTTCAATGTAAGAAAAAAGACCACATATAAAGAAATCTCGCCCTGGCCGGTTTGGCTCAGCGGTTGGAGCGTCCGCCTGCGGTCCGGAGAGACCCGGGTTCGGTTCCCGCTAAGGGCATGTACCTCGGTTGCAGTTTGTCCCCGGCCCCTGGTTGGTCGTGTGGGTGGCAGCCACTCGATGTGTCCCTTTCACATCGATGTTTCCCTCTCTCTCTCTTCCTCTCTCTCCCTCCCACTCTATCTGTACAAAAAATGGAAAAATGTCCTCGGGTGAGGATAAAAAAAAAAAAATTAAACAACAAAATAAAAAAATAAAAAAAAAAAGAAATCTCAGTCTCTGTTATGGGCTGAATTGTATCCTCCCCAACTCCCACCCCCATTTATATGTTAAGGTCCTAACTCCCAGTACCTCTGAACGTGACTGTATTTGAAAATTGGGCCTTTAAAGAGGTAATTAAGTTAAAATAGTGGGCCATAATCCAATATGACTGGTGTTTTTATGAAGAAGAGGAGATTAGGACACGGACAGAGGATGATGACCATTTGAGGACACAAGGAGAAGATGGCCACTTGCCAACCAAGGAGAGCAGCCCCATAAGAAATCAAATCTGCTGACAACTTTGTATTATACTTCTAGGCTCCAGAATTATGAGAGAAAAAAAACACCTTTGTTGTTTAAGCCACCCAGTCTGTCCTAGTTTGTTATGTCAGCCTTAGAAAACTAAGACAGCTTATTTTAATCTGAAATAGTTTACCTTTTCTTATCTGTTATGACACTGACATTTTTGAAATGTATAGCCAGTTGTTTTATAGAATAGCCCTTACTTAGGGCTTGTCTGGTTGTTTCCTCATGATTAAATTCCAATTATGCACTTTGGGCAGAAGTATGATAAAAGTGATATTATGTGCTCAGGATGTCATCTTATGCATGACGCCAATTTGTATTATTGGTAATCTCAAGTATCACTTGTTCTTGAAACCCTAAGCCACCATGTAAGAAGCCCAACTACCCCCAGGCTGCCATGCCATGCTAGCCATGGGGAAAAGGCAAGAGATGCCCAGCCACCTCCCAACTGTTCCAGTCCCCAACCACTCAGAGTCACCCCCAGCTGAGGCTTCAGACATCATAGAACAGATGTCATGAGCCCTCCCCATTGTGCCATACCTGAATTCCTGACCCACAGAATCATGAGATTTACTGCTTTCAGTCTTTAAGTTTGGGGTCATCTGCTATATAGCAGTACATAATCAAAGCAGGCCATATATTATATGATAGTACTCTATCAATGTTAAATTTTTTGAATTAGATTGTTGTATTGTGGTTAATAGAAAAATGACTTATTATTAGGAATTATTTAACAAAGTATCATGCCTGCAATTTCTCCCAAAAAGTTTATTTAAAATGTGTATGTCCGATGCCCAGCCAGCGTGGCTCAGTGGTTGAGCATTGACCCATGCACCAAAATGTGTGTGTCTGAGAGAGAGAGAGAGAGAGAGAGAGAGAGAGAGAGAGA